TCTGTTTCACAATGGCATTGGGGTGGTTAGAATTAACATTAATATAGGTGGGTGTTTCATTGTCTTTATGGTATGGTTTAAATGTTTTATTATTGATGATAAGGGTAATTGATAGATAAACAACATTTTTCGAAAGAAGAAAAGAGAAAATCTAAATCCTTAGCAATTTAAAGGCTCTAAAGGTTTTCTTTTAGAAACCTTTGCAAAACAGTTAAAAATGTTATTGGAATTGAAATGAAAGCAGATAATGTCCATCAGCTCTTCATCATAAAAATTCATTATGTGTTTTAGGATATACTATTATACTAAGGGTATCTAATATATAAATACTTACTAAATCAGCATTATTATATATATATATATATATATATATATATATAACATATAATATATATATATATATATTTTGAACAGCAGCAAAACCTTTTCACAACCTCACTGTCACAAGTTTGTTGTTGCTTGAAATCTTCCATTTTATGGAAAAAACAAGCTATCATTATTGCCATTCAGGAATTAATATATTGTAATGTTATTGTCATCTTTGAAGATCAATGGAGAAAAAGGTTTTGAATGAAATATAGGATTAAAAACATGTGTCAATAAAGATTTTTTTTTCTTTTTCAATGAAAGAACTGTGTTAAATAGCTTAAGGATGATATGAGGACTACCAATATAAAATAAATAGACAAAAACTATGGATATTATTTAATGAAAGAAAAATCTATATATATATATATATATATATATATATATATTTTTTTTTTTTTTTTTTTTAATTAAAAAAAGGAAACCCTGGTGAGTAATTTCTATTTATCTCTGTTTAATCCTACATCCACTGATGGGTGTGTCTGAAAATTCCAAACATAAAATTGTTTAAGATGAAAGATTTTCATAAATTTAAAATTAATATTTAATAAAAATTATCATGACTAATATATTGGTAGCCTTTTTTTATTGTCCTTGTTTTATTAAATAAACTATGTTATATATATTTAAAGTCTATGTGCAGTACTTTATTTTTGTATCCAATATCTGTGATAGAGCTAATATATTCAGTTCCATGGATATTAGTTTGTAATCTGACATATTTCTTTTTATATCATCAACAAATATGAAACAGATATATAAACAGGATGTTTGTGTGATACCTTTTCACTGAAGATCCAGCCGACCAATTTTGACCAAACTTGGCACATACATTGTACAATGTAAAAGATATGTTCTTAGCATAAAAGAAATCAATAATTTTTAAAAAATAATAATCGATAAAACCAATCAAAAAAAAAAAAAATCAATAAATTCAACATTTTCCTCCAATTTCATTCAAATTCGGTATGTAGGTTACTTACATCATGAATTCAATGATACCTCATTTTTATTTATACACCACTATGTTTATAGAAAAACTGCAGAAAACAAAAAATCGATTTCAGCACAAATTTTAAACTAAAACCTCCCTCAATTTTCAATCGATCTAATACAAACTTCACCGACAATAAGTTGATTGTTTAACAGTCATTTAACTTGATAATTGAGTCCACCCATATAGTGAAAACCCACGTAAATAGCAAAATATTTTTACTGGTTTCTTTCTTATTTTTTGTTGAACTTTCAACCAATTTCAATCAACCTTAACAATTGCTTTATAAATGTATCCTTTTTTTACATTCCTGGTAGTACACTGACAAATTTAATTTCAAAAACTCCAAAATAATTGTAGTCTGAAGTGGGTCTTCATGTTGCCTGTTTTACCCCTTCATGTCCTCAGCTAACTTCAATTGAATTAATACAGACTAGTTCTGTTATATCAGTAACTGCATTAATTCAAAATGTTTTTAATGAAAGTACTTTAAAGTAATTGAAGAAGATAGACTCTGTTACATCTAAACATGATGCTGTTTTTTCTTCATTCTAAGTATTAATGTTGGTACCATTATTGAAGGATTGAATGATCTTTTTCTCTCAACATTGCTCATTTGGGAAAACAGTGTGGCTGACACAAAATGATTTTAAACTGTTCTTTTTCTAGCTGAATAACTCAAAGGGTTTTTCAGTGCTTCTTACGACAAATGGTGTCAAGATGGCTAAACCTCTTATCTGAAAACCTGGAAAAAAGAAACTCAATTATTTTTTTTTTTTTTTTTTTTTTGTAGATAAGAAACGTTTTGTGGGATGGACAATTATTGCATTCTGTTACACCCAGTGTGTGTGATATATATATATATATATATATATATATATATATATAAAAAAACAGAACATGTCTGTCTGTGTGACCAATTTCAATGAAATTGTACACATGTAGGTCAGGACCACTTTTACTTCTCCAGGCTCCACAGGTTTAGCAGAAAAATCAATGAAACTGAAGCAAAATTACACCTATAAAATATACTCAAACCAGCATTTTAATTATGAATCGCAACAAACAAAATATGTATTTCTTTTTACTGTATTTGTTAAATGAAAACTGTAAAAATTGCCAAAGATTACAAAAAAGGCTACTCAACGAATAAGATTTGTTAGATTATCGATATAATAGTTGTCAGTGTGTCACAATTTTTCAATTCAAGGGACACAACTCTCAATAGCTCATTTCCTTCTTCTATATAATAAATACCAATGTCAGTATGTAACTGTCACGCTTCTACGCTTTACTCATAGAGGCCAGAACCCAACGTAGCATACCATTTTCAAATCAGGCCAACTTCGTGAGCAAATTAAAAACATGCTGGACTGGATCTAGACCTGCAATCCTGAAATTTTGGATTCCCAAATTTTCGTTACTGGGATTGGTTTTGGCTATTTTTTTTTTTTTTTTTTTTTTTTACATGATTTTTGCTACTTTTTTTTTTTTTTTTTTTTTTGTATGACAACAATTTTTATAACTTGGAAATAAATTTGGAAATAATCAAAATTAATTGTGAAATCCAGCAAGTCACCAATGAAATAAAAATTATTTATATGGAAAGTAAGAACCTACGTACATCAAGTTGTCTTTAAATTAAGTGGCAATAGAAGAATTATCATTAAGGTTTTAAAAGGTAAGCTTAAATATTAATGCAATACTTAAATGTGTGATCAGTTTTGAGTTCTTCTGTAGTTTATTGTTGCTTATTGCATCTACTACGCTGTACCTATTGTGATGAAAGCCCAATCAAGAACCATCTGCAGGAGTTAGGATAAATTCTTATAATTAAGCTAGTAATTAATAAAAACTAAAAAATAAATAAATGTGTATAAAACAACATAATACTGCTGGACACAAATTATAAGACAAAATGTTTTAAATTTGCATAAAACTACTGCACTGTATAACATATTACATCAGAGATCAGATTTTTACTTATAATTCCATCCACAAACAGGATTCTCTCTTTCCTCAAGTACTTTTGTTGGTGAGTCTCCCCCGTCTCTTTATTTCTTGCATCCACCGATGAAGGACACAGGTGTGTCCGAAAATTCCGAACTTGGAATCTTGATCTCTGTGCTTCATTTTTTGATGTGTTTAATAATAATTTTTTTCATGCTGATCACCTCTGTACCCTTTCGTTTGCCTTTGTTTTATTAACCAATTTATCTACTCTATCTTATAAATTATATGAAGCATACATGGACTCTTTCTTCTAATCACATAATATAGCTAAATTGTTCAGAATAACTTTCCTTTGCAGTAAATGAAGGGTCTTATTTGATGGTACAATGATTTAGCAATAATGTTTGTGCCTTGTTTCTTGTCCATATACAATTTGTGATGCTTTCAGAGTTAATTTAACAGCTCTTTTCACACATTGCAAATAGGCAGCAGGTAAATTTGGCAACTGCAACATTCATTAGAAACTTTTGCTGTTCATTATTTGAAAAACCTTTTACAAGTGCAGATCCACAACTTTCATTTTATGGGAGGTTTTGGCCAGAGTGTCACTTCAGAGATGAATGTAATTTTTTAAAATGTCTACTCTGGTTGGTGGTGTCATTACTTCTGAAATATAAAAAAAAAATATTTTGTGCTGTAAATATTTAATGCAACATTATTTTTATTTGACTTTTTATTCTCTGAATCCTGTTGAAGATTTACAGTTGTTGGTTATGGAATTTATTCTCCTTTTCAATTTCAAACCAACTGCATTCTATTTGAATTAGAAATTTGATAAGGCTGAACAATTTATAATCGAGTTCAAGTGGATAGGCAACTCTGGTCCATAAACACATCAACCTGTTGGCTAAAGTAAGAATTCTTGCTTGATTTAAGGACCCAATTTTCCAGGCAGCAAATCTAGAGTTCACGTTCCCTCAAGAAATTCCTACAGCATATTCTAAGAGCTTCTTCTATTGCCCTGCGGTAAAATATAAGTAATCTAGAAGGCCACTGGCAGTGTTATCTATCTAAATCCGTGGCCACTGGCATCTTATCCAAATACATGTGTCTGTATCAAACAATTCTCTGATATGGTTCATATCTTCATCCGATACTTTCTTTCCATGCATTATTCAGGTCCTGCTAATATCGCCCATTCTTTGAGTAAACGAAAACACATCTTTCCTTTTTATTGTCTCAGGGTCTCTCTAATTGGTCCCTAAATTCTATTTTGTGCCTAATTTTAGGTCATACTTACTATCAGATGAATAGGTCCAACCTACTATCAGCAGGAGCTATCTATCAATAGTGATAATAATGCTAGTAATAATGATTTTTCTAAGGAATTTGGACAACTGACGTACTTATATCAAACATAGTAGCCATAACTACTTGATATTGACAATCAGATGAAAGAAAACACTAGTCAAAAATTAATAATGTTGACTAGACTATAATATATTTTACTACTACTAAGTGTAAACTGTAAACTTGCAACAAAAATCAGAAGAATGAAAACTTAGTAAAAAAACTAATGTCTATTCTTTATCAAAGAAATGTTTTTCTTTATATTTAAACTTTTGAAATGATGAACAGATGAATTTCTTTGTCATTTTAAATTAAAAATTAAAAATTTTTTTTACAGGTTATGGTGACTTGCGGTTTAGCTTGCTCGGTTACCTGTGTGGTGGGTTGAGTAACGTGACTCAGGCCCTTTATCTCCTGCTAGTTCAGCGTTATACGGAAGGAGCTATAAACACAATACGAACGTTACAATTAAACTGTGTCAATTCTTTCCCTTTGTTACTTATGGCTGCTGTCATTAGTGGTGAGACAAAGCAAGCCGTTGCTTTCCCACATTTCACCCAGAAATCATTTCTCCTTCTGTTCACTACGGTTGTTCTCTGCGGCATTCTCCTCAACTATTCTCTCTTTCTCTGTACGAGTCTCACGTCTGCACTGACCACCTGTGTTGTGGGTGGGGTTAAGGCTCTTGTCCAGACCATCATCGGAATCTTCACATTTGGAGGGGTCAGCTCCAACTGGTCGACTGAAGTAGGGATCACACTGAACCTGTTGGGGACTTTGCTTTATGTTTACAGTAAGTATAAAGAAAGGAGAAAACTCAGTATCCTTGGGCATCTCAAAAAAGTTGCAAGCTTAGCTTCAACAGAACAATTCCAGACTCTTGTAGAGGAGAGTGATAAGTCAATAACAAAAACTGGGAGACAATAACATTTGTATTTAATTAGAATTTTACTCCTTGGGATGATGATGATGATGAGTATTTTTGTTTTTGTTTTTTTTTTTTTCCCCTTATGAGATTTGTCGTTTTTTTCTTTCAAACTAACTTGAGATTAGTTGACATTCATGAAGATGCCAAAAAAAAAGTTTTTATAAAATGATTATTCGTATCTTCACCATTTATAGGTGATTTCATGGGTTTGAAATCTCTCTCTCTCTCTCTCTCTCTCTTTCTTTTTTCAAATATATCTGATTTGGGTTGGGAATCATCTTAACATTGTCCAAGTTTTTCAAACTTAACACTGCCTTGAATGTCACACAGTCAAAGCTCATAGTTATAAAGCAAAACATATTTTTAAATGGAGTTATGTCCCTTGGGTCTGATCTTCAATAATTACAAATAAGGCGTGGGGGACCAATTTTTTATTTTTGTATCTTTTCTGAGAATAATTAAATATTTCTAAAAGTATTTTCCAGAACTTAGGCAATGTTTAGTAACATGAACAGCTTATAAGAAGTCAGTCTTAATTTTTTTTTTTTTTTTTTCTAAAAGTGCATAAAATATGGTGTAGCATGCACAATCACATTTATCTATGATGCATGTATGTCTGTGTGTGTGTGTGTATATATATATATATATATATATATATATATATATATATACACACACACATACATGTGTGTATATCTACTAAAAATAAAAATACCTATGTTCCTTACTGCTCAACACAGCTCTAACTTTCATGTATATGCCAATTGTCAGGTATGAATTAAAAACTGAGCATTGTTATACCACCTACTAGCAAGATAGTGGAACAGTCCATTTACATAAGGGGGGAAAATGGAGATATATAAATCTCCAAATGAGAGAAAGAACAGATGGAGTAAAAATCCAGTTTGTAGCATTTACTTTTAAAAAAGTGCTCAATACAAAGTTGAGCAATATATTATTATTATTATTATTATTATTATTATTATAAGAAATTATAATAAAAACATTTTGAAATCACTACACAAAAGATTTCATGTTTCAATACTTTGATTGTACTTCATCAGGTGATGGTAAGTAACTGGTTATTAAATGATTTTTAAGGAAATTTAAAAACAAAGTATTACCTCTTTTCAGGAAATTAAAGGTGGGGGACATAAGGTTAGAATTAAAAAATTGTCTTGTGAGTCTATTTAGTGTAGATCTGACATTTAATTGGTTAATCAAGACATACCAACAAGTCTATTTTTAATTCTGACATTATGTCTGCCAACTTTAATTTTCGGAAAAGAGGTAATACTTTGTTTTTAAATTTCCTTAAAAATCATTTAATAACCAGTTACTTTCATTGTACTTCTTCAGGTGATGGTAAGTATCAAAACATGAAAGCTTTTGTGTAGCGATTTCAAAATGTTTTTATTATAATCTCTTATAATAAAAATATAATAATAATAATGTCTGTATGAGGTGATGCACACATAAGCAGGATAAGCCCAAGTAAAGCCTATATATTTACTCCACTCCTGCCCTGATATAGCAAAAAAAGAAAAAAATACTCGGACAAGAAAATAAAACTGAGGGGAAAAATTTGTATGATTAACGAAAATAAGAACCCAGCCAGAAGTTACTCGGCTCTTTGCCCCTCCACTGAGCCAGTGCACAGATTAAAAATTTGCATTGTGTTCAGCGCCAGACCCCAATTACTAAACCTGCTGTTGATAGTCTGAAACAATAAAAATCACAAGGCCTTCACTGGACCATGAATGCACACATGCACAATCTCCACCCAAACATAAAACAAATGGATCATCCACGCTCCACTGATCTAAGCAGCCAGCTTGCTTGTCTCAAAAATGGATGTGATGTATCTGTTTTGCCTCCATTGTTTGTTTAGCCAGGATCAAGAATGACTTAGCGTCTCAGTGTGTATGCTCCAACTGAAGAATAAACATTCAACATGCCCCAGCAAGCAAGACAGAAACACAAGAATCGTTACTTTGTGAAACAGACTCCCAAGAGGATGCTTTCCTTGAGCACTACAATCTTAACCTCTTCAAATCTCTGGTTAACAAAATTTTAACATCTGATCTCAACTGGAAATACATTGGCTGCTCAGCCATGCTTGATGCATTTTTCATGCAAGTTCTATTTTTTCAGCATTTGTTCATGTGTCTTGTCAGTTTTTCTCAAAATGCAGTTAATTCAACAGAATCTTTTTTGGTGGTAGTAGTTAACTGATCAGATTACAATTTCATGAATTTGAGTAGTTAATGTTATTTACACTCTGACTATTGTCTTGATTTTTGTTATCAGAATGTTTTGGCCATTGTGCCTGACCTTTTTCAGGTGTCGATCAATCTATTTGACCTTCACGGAATTTTGATCTGAACGTCTTATTTAATCTACTGGTGGGTAAATAGTTCTTGTTCTGCTATCCATTAGGGGGCAGGCTTTTTTTTTTTTTTTTTTTTTTTTAAAGAAAATCAACATTGCACTCAGTGTAAAAGCTGGGGTTTGATGTGATAAGTACCGACACCAAAAATAACATTCATAGCTTTTACCAATTTTTGAGTATTTAGTTTTAAAGATCATCTGAAAAATGTACCAAAATACCTAATTTCCAGAAGTTTTTGCTTACAAAATGACTTCAAAATTTTACTATTTCAAGAATAAATCCATTTTTTTCTCTCTATATTAGGTACATTGAATGGAAAAACCAGGATTCTAATTATGAATCACCACAAACAAAATAAGAATATTATTTTTTTTTTTTTTTTTTTTTTACTGTAAAAATTGTAAAAGATGACGAAAAAGGCAACTCAATGAATAAGATTTGTATGATCATTTGTTGGATCATAATTAATAAAAAAAAAAAAAATAGATAAAGTGTATATAAACACCATAATACAGCTGGGCACAAATTATAAGACAAAAAATATTTTATCTTTATTTATCATGTGAAACCCCAACTTTCCACTTAAGTGCAATACCATACTTCCAAAATCAACCTGCCCTATTGTTTGTTTTGGGAAATCTGTTTTTAGTACTTCACTTTTATTATTAGATTTTTTTTTTTGTTAGTTTGAGTCTCTACTACCCAGGCCAGGGATTGAACTCAAAATAACTATGCCATCAAATTCCTGAACCATTGCTATAATCCTCTACATCAGTGGTTCTCAACTGGAGTCCACATGGACCCTGGCCTCTCTGTAACATTACTGGGGCTACACAGTAATATTTTAAGGGTCCATCATGCAATTTCACTTTAGAACGGTTGCTACAACTGAGAATTGGAATTACTACAGTCATACACACCATATTAAAATACTAAAAATAGAAAAATAACTCAAAAAAACAAGCATAAAACGAGATCAAGCAATGTAAGTTAATGACCATTTTACTCTAATGGATACTTTGATTGTAAAAGCTGAGGAGATGTATGTATATATATATAGGAAAATTATATAAAGATTATATTTTGTTATATAAATTAATTTTAATATATTAATAAATAATAATTTTAAATATTAATAAAATATTAATATAAATTAATTAATATGGTAATAGACTCGACATTGTGAAAAGTGGTGATCTTTCATTATCATTGAAATCAATAGAACCAAATATTAAAAAAAAAAAAAAAAAAGCTCACATATCAGCATCAACCACAAGGATCTCATTAAATAAATTTGCACTTTTTAAAAAAATTTAATTACTCACATATTTTAAAATGGTTTGTTATGGGTTATTTTACTAGTTCCATAGAATTTAGTTGTTAAATACAAGTTTATTTTCATTAAATTAGTTTTACTGCAAAATAAAGCATATACATTTACTATTTCTATAATACAATTCATAAATTTAACTATTAGTTTTTTTTATTTATATATATATATATATATATATATATATATATATATATATATATATATATATATATATATTTGTTTGTTTGAAAAAACAGACCACTTTAAGGTTCCATGTAATAAATTATTTCACCATAGCCCTTTTAAAGGGCTCTGGATCATCAGACTTTTACTTCCAAAGGTTGAAACATTGAGCCTCCAGGTATCATCCTCTTTGGGTCTACTCATATGGATTACCTAGTTTTGCATAAACACACACATACATATATATATAATATATATATATATATAAAAAAGGCTTTTTTTTTTTTTTTTTTTTTTGAATGATTTTGGCAGTCCAGCAAAAAAAAAAAAAAAATTTGAAAAAAGTGGCTCATGGGTAATAAAAAAAAAAAAAAAAAAAAAAAAAAAAAAAAAAAAATAGGTTGAGAACCACTGGTCTAGATTATTGTCCCAAGACAGGAAAGCCTAGAGGATTGAATAAAGGATTAAGTTTTAAATACTCTGAAGATTATCTGGTTTATTCAAACTAGACATTTGATTTAATCTATGAGGGTTCAATATGGCCAAATTGGCAGCTGATCTAAAAGATTATTTACAACCTGTTGATAATTACGGAAAGGAATGGCATGTGAATTTTAATGCCTTCAAAATGAAACTGCTCTTTTCATAATCATCAGAGAACCACTTTTTACCTTCCATCTGCATGCCGGAAGCTAACCCCCAAGAGATGGAGTCATTGCACCTTCTCAGACTAAAGTTTTCCACTGATATAAAATAGAAAAATTATTTTAAATCAATTGCTAGATCTGCTGATAGGAAAGTTGGTTCCCTGTATAGTTCTAGACAATTTTTCTCGCCAGAATCTATTTTACATATAAGTCTGCCGTTTGTTCTTGCTTTGAATATTGCTGCCACATATGATCTAGTTCTCTTGCTATATATTTAGATTCTTGATAAAATCCAAAGAATCTGCAATGTCATGTTGGCTTCATTCACTTTCACACTGCCATAATGTAATTTCCCGCTGCCTTTTTTTATGAACATTCTGACATGGTACTTTGACTTGATGAATTTAAACATAATGCTAGATTGGCAGCTAGGTCTCATGATTTTACAGTTGAAATGGCAGATGTAATTGTAAATTCTATGCTAAGCTTCTTCTATTAAACTTCTGGCTTCTTGCTTCCCAATCAACTTTGATCTTCAATAATTTAAATGCCATGTCAATCACTATGTTCTGACTCTTTAATTCTTGTTCTTTTATTGTTCTCTTTCTCCTTATTAGTTTTTCTCATATCCTCCAATACTCAGTAAACCCTTTGCATCTTAGTGGCTTTATTGCCTTGCTTGGTGTGAAATGATTGAATAAAAAAAAAAAGGAACAAGACTGTTCTTGTTCTGCCAGCTGCATCTGAAG